CATGTGTTCAGCACAAAGCGACATACAGAGGGAACAAGTATGTAACAAAGAGTTTGAATCTTTTTAAGTTTGTAAAATACTCAACTCAAAACTTTTCGAACATTGACTGTAAACTTATGCAAAACATTAATCACGGTTGTTATCGTTTATACGCTCCATTTTTCCGCATCGAGTGCTTCGCTCTTCGTTCAGATCTGCAGTAACAGTCTCTAGAACACCATCGAAGTGCATTGTCCGCTTAATCCCAATTGCCAGCTCAAACCAAAGCATTCTCTTCAACGGCTGGCTGTTGTGGACAGAGATCATACTCATTTTATAACAAACGACTGTGCTATTCCATTTGTGAAGATGGGCAAAAGAAATTAAACACAGAGACACACCTATTTGTTAGAAGGACTAATCAAAATGGTAATTGAAAATGGTGAAATTTAATTAAGAGAAAATGAAGTACAAAAGGCAGAAAGCAATCAATCAATTAAGAGAAAATGAAATACAAAATGCAGGTTAAAAATGATGTGGAGAGGCTATTACTTGAGACGTAAAAAAATGTCTTTGTTCTCATAATTAGAACTTTTCAGTTGAAAAATTCTTCTAAAAGTAGAGTTTCGCATACGATGAGCTCATGCAAAAGCATAGTTTAACGTTATGATACGCACGTTTTGCATACAATGCAAACAACATTTTGTTCCATCAGTTGTAAAGTATGCAAAATTTAAACCTGCTGTTGGTGCTTCTATCTGAGCACAGCATTCTATTAGCTGCACAAAGGTCTAATAAGCTTGCGCTCATTGTTGAATAGCTCCCAAAATGGAATGTACTCCGCATATTAGCAGGATATAGATCTAACGAATATGTACGTCAATGCTGCGAACATGTGTGTATACGTGGACGTGGCCCTTTTGTCTAGCATTCACCTTATGAGCATTGAAAGTAACCGAAGTTTTTGTTAAGTGAAAATGAAACCGTCATTGCTAGCGGTGAGTTGCATTTTAAACAAAACCAACATATTATTAGGTTGTCCCAAAAGCTCTTTTTCTAAAAAAATCGAAGACTATTTATTATTCTACCAGACTTGACATATTATTGGATAGAGAAAAGCAAG